TAGCAATCTTTTTATCTCAAAGTGTTTACCTTAGAACTCCTGATAAATCATTGAAATTAAGATGTTAGTTTATCATTAGTTAAAGCAATATATTTAGGTTTTCTGTTACATTTTACACCCATTTATGAAATATTCCTCTTACATTTTAAGAGTTTCAGCTTTATTAAACATTGTATCATTAAAATAAAGCACGCTGCAGTGTCTTTCTCTCTACTGAAGATAGTTTGGCATTGTAGAAAAACAGATCACTGAAACCATGATCAATTATCTCTGCCTCCTCTGATGACCTCGATGAATTCAGCCATCTGATATCAATGAGGTTGGATCGATAAATGTGTTTGCACCAGTTGATGAACGTTATTGAATTTGTTTGCCTGCTGTTAATCCTCTCAGGACACCAGACCTCCCCCTGCTATCCAAACTAAAGACATGATGCACGTGGATTCAATAATACGATCATAACTCTCTGGCCCAGAGGTTGGTGACAAAGGGTGGATCTTTATTCAAATACATACAAAAATAGTGAAAATGAATTAAGGAATTAGTACAATTCCAATCAAAATACATGTAGAGGGTATCAAAAGTCTCGAAAACTCTTGTTTGTCTGCAGCAGGACATATTTCATTCTTTTATTCAACTTCTTTAGGGGATGGTTAGTCCTGAGCTTTCTTTTTGGTCCACATCAAATGCTAACCATGTCATGATCCCACCTCTGAGTTTATTTGTTGTTTTATTTTGAAAAGTTTTCTTGCCTTATGTCATGCCTGTTTTTACTTCCTGTCTTTGTGTGTTTTCCCACCCATTTTATTTCCTTATTGGTTCCACCTGTTCATCGTTAGCCCTGCAATGAACCTGCTCTCCTGTACACCGGGGTTGCGGTCGAATAGTCCATTTAGCTTAGGAACCTTCCTAATGGAGTGAAATGACCCGGAAGTCCCTCAGTGGCAGCCATGATAAGTGCCATTCGAATTCTCTAAATTAAAAGGAAAGGAGGTTTCAAACTTCCTTTATAACCTCCTTTAGCTTAGGAACCACTGGACCTCCCTAACCGAAAGGAGAGGAGAAAATGCTGCCCCACAATGCCTTGCGGCCGCGGCATTTGCCGTCACACAACAGTCGGCCGTTCACGGAAACAATCGATTATGAACGAGAAATGATATCATGAAAGTTACGGTTCAAAACGTATGTGGTAAGTTGCCAAAGTGCTTTGTTTTGAACGTTCATCAGTATTATAATCAAAAAGAGAAATATGAACGTTAGTTTTTACTGAAATGATCAAATAAAGTCAACATTTCACAGTCTTTACTGAGCTGTGTGGGGTTTGTTCAACTTTTAAAAGATGTTTGAATGGTGATATACTTAAGCAATAGCTCATGACAGGCCGTGGTATATGGCCATTATATCACAGTGCAAGCAGTTTGCTTTTCAGCCCAACTGTATACTGTTTTTCTCAGACGCGGAGGGATACTGACTTGTTGTGAAAAGTAACTTACAATTCTACCCGTGGTATACGCTCAGTATATCACGGCTAAGAACCAATCAGATTGCTTGATTTGACCTGTCCGTTTTATAAACAGTGATAGATGTTAAGGACTAACGTTTATAATAAATACATTTGTATTGATTTTAAGATCTTTTCATACAATCATACGTATTGGGATCGTTTGTATTAATGAGGACCGGAGGGAGAGGGTGACGAGCATAAGTTTCACTTTCCTTTTTTATTTCAATTCCAACTTTGGTCATGAAGAATATGTTTCTCTGTTGTCCACGTTCATAAAGCATAAAACAACAGCATCAGAGCACGGTGCAGAGTCTCTAGATGAGTTTACAGTAGTCCCTCGTTCTCATTAAACATCCATGTTGTAGTCCGCTGTATAGAAAACTGTAGTTTCCATAGTTTCCCCACAGCAGCAGGCGCACATTTATGACCTCCGCTGGCGCATCATAAACACGTCGGATAGTGAAAGTGCAGTCGGATTCTCTAAAGTACCGCAGTCTCTTCTCCTAAGTCCTTTTGAATTCTCCTATCCACTATCCCTTAACCCCGTGACGTTTCACTCAGAGGTTAAGGAATAGACGATAGGGTTAGAACTTAGGAGCTGTTTTTTTAGAGTATTCGACCGCAACCCTGCACTTATCCCCTCATTAGTTCTGCTCGTGTTTCAATCCTGGTTTTGTGTTTAGTCTTTTTTGAGTTCTCATTGTCGTGTTCAAGAATGTATTTTTCACTCTGACTGCCCTCACCATCTCATGAGACACATTTTGATGAGTAAACATACTGTTCATAACTTGACAAGTGACCATTTATTTGGTGTATATTGAAGAGATTTCACATGGTGGCTTTGGTACAAAAACAGAACATTAGGATCAAATAAAAAATGATTAGAAATCTGAAGGTCCATCACCAGTGTGATATCATTCCCAGCAACAACATCTGTATCTTTTTAAAAAGGGTGAAGGAGGAACCATCAAAAATGCACAGCAGAGATAAGCCAACGATTGTAAAGACTAAACTCCAAGGTAAGGTCTTTAAATGTCTGGTTTTGTCAGTCCAAAAATAGTCACTTCAATCTGATATAAAACGGAGGAAAGCAGCAAATCTCAATATTTGAGAGGCTGAAAACAGCATTTTCTGCGATTTTGCACTTTAAAGATTAATTGATTTTCAAAACATTTGGCAATTTTGTTGTCAATTGACTCATTTTCACAACTTATCGTTGCAGCTCTTACATTAAGCCAGGGGTGTCAAACTCAAGGCCCGGGGGCCAAATCCGGCCCGCGACTTCATTTTATGTGGCCCACAAGAGCTCTGCAAGAATATAATATGTTTATTATACGGTTACATGGCGATTTACAGAAGCACGTTGCCCATAAACTACATGTCCCACAATGCATCTCAACTTTTTTTCTTCAAAATACGCCTTTTTTCTTAGAATTTCTGGTCACTTTTTATCTTCAAAATGTCACTTTTCTTTTCAAAATGTCACTTTTTTTTCCCTCCAGAATTTGGCTTTTCTTTTTAAATCATTTTGTGACATTCTCACTGAAGAGACTTGCAATTACTTGCCCTAGACTTCTGCTTTCAGACGTAGTTAATTATGAAGTTATTACCCTATCCGATAATTATCCAATGCAGAGGCAATCATGTAATATAAAGCATTATTTTATATATATTAAATATGTATATATGTATTTTGATATAGTCTTAAAGTTACAACCGGCCCTTTGAGTGCAACCATAATTCCTACGTGGCCTAGCGCTGCTCAATTCATTGTATTTTAATCGCAATTACGATTTTGGCTTGCAACGATTATGAAAACATAATCGAAATAAAACTATTATTTTTTTTTTTTTTTATATTTTTTTTTATTGGTTTTTCAGTTGAATTATACTTAAAGTTCAGGGTAATCAACTGTTAAAAACATACTGTTCACATAAATGGATGTTTTCAAAGTAATTGGATAATCGTTTTTAATAATCGTGATATCAATTATTGACCCAAATAATCGAGATTATGATTTTTGCCATAATCGAGCAGCCCTAACGTGGCCCGTGATGAAATTGAGTTTGACACCCCTGCATTAAGCTATTTAACATTAAGTTAGTGACCATATATTGTACACTACCCCTTATGATGCATTGTAGGATCACTTGAGTCCCATATGGGTATAACAAATCTCACCATTCTGTGGACTACATATAGTGAACAGGAAATGAGTATGGATATAGCTTTTGGATATTTAACATTGAAGAACTACAAATCCCATGAAGCTTTGATACTTCTGTAACTAAGACCTAACAATATGTTTATTAAAGGCTAACCTAATATCTCTGTGAGATTGACAAGGTTCTCAAACTGTAGGTGATGTAATGGATTAGATAGATATTTATTTATGGATTTAAAAGTATCATGGTATTATGAAAATACGTTAAGCATTATAAGCAAGTGAAACAAGCTAATCCCAGGTGTGTTTATGGCTCTATTCAAATGATTATTTGATTATTAAAAGTGATAATTTATACAGCGGTGCTATAAATAGTATTAAATACACATATTCATAAAATGCTTTCATGCAGTGTTGAACCATTGACACATTAATAACATATTTACATTAATCCAACACCAGAAGTTCAATTGTATGTGTGGTTGTTAACAATATTCACAAATAGAGGCACAAGAATAGATCTTATAATTAAACTCACATGTGCAGAATATGTTAAATATAAGTGAAGATGGTTTCATTGGTGCCGCTGCAGTGACATTCATGGAGTTTGTGTGTGTGAACACGTGGAGATGATATTTGCACCGTCAGCCCGTCACTCTGCAGCTGTGATTGGCTCCAGCAGAGAGCTCACAGTCCATTCCCAGTGAAAGGCCGCCATTGCAAAAAGTCTTTGTTCTGCTTCATCCCCTCGCTTTGACTTCCAAATGAAGCTCTAAACTTCTGACACCCAGAGGCTCATGGGAAAGAACGGTCAACAGAAGCTGTTTTCCATCAGTGGGAATGAGGCAGCGTTCGCCACATGTCTGGGCTGAAGGTTCCTCTTAGAAACAGCTTAGGGAACCATGGAGAACAGCATAACTACAGCCAACAGGTGCAAATTAAAAGACATGAACTTAAGTTATTTTGAAGGGGTATTGGGGATCTTCACCACTGGGACGTCCTCTGCAGACCATTTCCCTGCAGAAGAAGAAGAAGAGAGAACGGTTGTTAATCAAACAGCACATTATTGGATGCAGATGACAACGCCACTGAAAACCAGTGTTACAGTGTTATATGGTTGGCTCTGAAAAGCTTGAGTACAGCAGCTTGGAGTCTAACAGTTGTGACCAATGATGTGTCTGAAATCAAAGTGGCTTTTTTGGGTTTCTAAAGAATTTGCACACAAATAATCACCTTATTTAGCAAAACATTTAGTTTCCATTGTATCAACACTAGCTGTCAAACAATCAATTTTTCTGAATAAATGTATTTATTCAAAGATCAGTGATCCGATATCATTGATTCAAAGTGAAAACATCTACAACGCTTTTATTTTGAAATAATGAAAGTAATGTACAGTATGTGTCATTCTTTCTGCCTAAACACAGTGCAATCCAACAGACTTTTGTTATAAAATGGCTTTTTGTTTAAGTATATTTTGTGGATAGTAACCTAATTTTGATAAATGGGCACATTTTGTGATCTACACCTCTAATTTACAAAGATTTTTGCAAAGATCCCCTAAAAATTATATATTTTTAAGAAATATTGAGTAAATACAAATATAGAGTTAACTTTTTTTGGTTGTGTTTTTATACATGGAATGGTGATTGGGTTATTCAGACACAGAATGAGTTTGGTGAAAAAGAAAAATCCATTTGACAAATTCTTAAGGAAAGATTTGGCTAAATATGTCTGTCCTCTGTGTGTGGTTAGCTTATAACATGACATAAACTGTACGTATTATGAGTCATCTATTCAAATGTCTAAAAAGTATAAATCTGGGTCACATTGAAATCTGCTTAAAATTGACTACAGCTTCTGTCCTCCGGAAATAAGAGAACCATACTCTTCAGAGCCACCTTAAAGCATGAAGTTGAGGGTTTAAAAGTCAAAATGTAACTTTTCAGGTTAAAAAACAAATAACAGACTTAAAAAAGGAAATGGTATGTACAGAGAGATACAAACACTGCAATATGACCTACACATGCAATCCTTTTCACCAACATTTGTCTTGCATTGCAGTCAGAAAACAGATAGAAAAGTACATGGAGTCCAAGTAGCATATTGAGCAGATAAGGTAAAAGAGAAGAGGCTTTAAGAGAGTGAGCTCCACAAGGTAAGAAAAAAGAAACCCCAGACAAAGAGGTGATTCATAGTGAACCTGTAGGAGAAGTTGCTATGGATACTGAGAGGTGGACATGCACAGAGGCAGGGGAACAGAAAGCATCTGGAGGTAAGCGAGTTGATAAGGAGAAACAAAGAGAGGCGTGGGGGGGGTTCAGGGTACCACGTACGCTGTGTCCGTTTGTGTGTGCGGTGCTGCCGCTGTCAGTGCGGGTCGAGGGGGTGCTGCTCCCGCTGTTGGCTACTGAGCTGGCTGAGGCTCTGGGGATGATCATGTCGTAGGACACGTCCGGAGGGTGCTGCACAACAAGGAGGACACAAACATTCAGAGACTAGGATGGGAAAGAACATGCTTTTTGGAAAGAACAAAAATAGTGTACTGAGCCAGTTTGGATGTTTCAAGGGGGTTGTATGAGAAAATGTATTCAATGTATTAACTACAGTAGCTGGAGGTTGACACGCCCCCAGTTTAGAAATCAGACAGAAGCAAAGTGATGCACAGCTTTTGACGTAGGCATAAGTGACACAAATGATGACGTGCAGGCTATATTTATAACATTTGACTGCTTTCCCGTGATGACAGACAGCCAAACTGAAGCCGTTTCATCCATCTTTACTCTCGCCATTGCCACCAGGGTCCGTTGAATATAAGGGATCATTTAACCATGCAGAACAAAGGAGCTGCCAGTCTACCACTGCCTCAACACGTTCGATTGTTTGGTTACTTTGGTGAATCCGAACTAACCAAAGTCATACAAAAACACAAACAATACTAGCGATTGATTCAGAGTAAGACCCCAACGTCCATGTTCTGCAAAGATAACTGTTGTCTATTACTGTTCTACTTTATTCAAAGAGTCTGGCTTTAAACAGAGCATAGATAACCCCTTCAGTTAACTGACGACAAGGTAAAGCCAAATAATCTAAATATAGTGTTTTGCTATGATATTGATTGTTTAACGTGTCCAAAATGCATATTGCTGCTGACCCCTCCCACAATACTTGCTGTTAAGCTGTTGCTTAGCTTCAGTGTTGGTATTCCTGCGTGTTTCTCCAAAATGGGGGCATGCTGACAACCATGTTCTGTAGTTAATATACCCACTGTGGATAAGTATCTCAAATAGCCCAACTTCAAATCATTTGAAATACCTCTCCCTTCCTGTCTATGTTGTGCTGGATAATGCATTGCCTATCCCTAAGCTGTCCCCTCAAGCAAAAAAGATAAAACCCTCCAAACTCGTGGATAAAATATTTTAAATCTTGATCACATTTTCGCATTATGTACATACCTATACATTCTCACAATTAAACTCTCTAAGATATGTGACATGAAGCACTTGGAAGTTGTTTACTGTCATCATTTTCTAAAATCAACAGACATGACCTATTTTTGTCATGGTTTTGACTTGACCTGTATTTACTTTTTTTAATTCCTTTTCTGTTTTGCTTGTTTATGTTCGGCATAGTCAGTACATTCACTTCACCTGCTCACTCTCCACACCCACCTGCTCCCCTTTTCACACCCAGCTCCCTAGTATATTAACCAGTCCACTTCCACCAGGTTGTCTTTGTGCTGTGAGTCTTAGCTTTCCTGCATCTGAGCAAGTGGTTTTCTTTTAACCTTACCCCGTATATCCTGGATTTGGTGATAGCCTAGCCCTCTTGTTCTGTGTTTGCCTTCCTTTATTTTTGTATACTTTTTTATTTGTTAGAGAACAGATCGTTTTGTAGCCCCTGCCCTTTTAAGTCACTGTGACTGTTTTTTTTTCTTGAGTTTTGACAATTTTTATCAATTTCACTATTTCTTAAATGCTGTAGTTTTGGGCGTACATATCATAATTGAAGGATGACTGTTTATATTCGACTCTAGGTTGACACTGACAAACTTTAAGCAAAAAAAAACGAAAAAGGGATTTTATATATATTTAAATCAATACTGACATACCTCAGATCAATACATTTGCAAAAAGATAATATATAATAATATATATGCAATTTGGAAATATTCATCGTTAAGACCACAATTTGACCAGTGCATCTTTTATGACACTTCTTGTAAATGATCATCCCTAAATGTCATCAAACATGGCATGTAGCCTTGTCAATAAAGAATAAGTAATATACTGCTGTGGTGAAAACCTGTTTGTCAGATAAGATCTGTGGCGCAAACAGGTCGAATGCTAACTAATTTCCAGGGTTTTGGGAAAGTGTTACTTGTGGTGTTCATTTCAGTTTATATTTGCCTAGCACAGGACATACAGTGGAAGTAAACCAGCTACCTTACAGAGTCAAATGCAGCATTCAAATGAGTTTCTCTGAAAGCAAACCAATTTGTTTGTACTTACAATCCCCCCTCCTTTGCTGATAATGGCCAGCTCAGTGGGCTGGTACACTGAACCCCTCACCTGCCCTGTGTAGCCGCTGTACGGAGACACAGGCTTGGACCCTGTAATGCAAAGAGACAACAAACGTTACAATCTTGTCACATATCAAGCCCTCTGAGTGATATCTCTCTGCCTCCTAATTGCTATCTTTCCCTAGCAAACATCCCTTATATCTTTATATTACAACCACTTAAGCTACAAAGCACTTAATCAGCAGACCATGATGCATCTGTCCTTAATCTCATTCGTGCTTGCATCCTTAGAATGATAAGAGAGATGACTTTGTTAAAATCAAACGTTTGGATGAAACTGTTGCCACACCTCAGTTGCCATGGAGACTATGCAAACACAAGGAGTGATGGTTCTGGTGGGAATCAGAGGCAGTGTTTGCATGGGATACAGTGGTTAGGGATGCAGTTAGATACTAGACACTCATTAACAGGAATGATTCAGACACTCTGAATACCTGACTGCAACTCTGGGAACAACATGTGTACATATGGTTGGTCAGTTTCTATTCCCGCACCTGATGACTATTATTGATTTGTATTCATCATGGCTCCCAATACATTGAACAAAGTTATCTATAGGGAGTAAACTGGGAAGTTAATGATAAAGGTTGAAAAGTGAGGGTTTCTCCCTAAAACGCTGCAGAGAAAAAGTCCATAAGCTTAATCAAACATAAATGCCAATATACAATGGCAGCATTATAATGGGTTAAATATATATATAGTCACTTTCAAAAATGCAGCTAAAAAACAACAAACTGGTTGTTAAATTAAAAGGGTTAGACCCCCCTAACCCTAACCCATTATTTGCAACATACTTATATGGAACAAATTGAACTTTGAGCTAACACAATAATCAACAATAAAAAAAAATAGATATTTAAATGTATAGGGCATTTTTGAACTGACTAACTGGATCCATCCCTCATCTTTTGTGTTTATCACACAAGATGACACGGCAACAACTAGTTTTACTGGTGGCTTTCCACCTCTAGACCACAGTGACACAAGCTGACAGACTGGTGACATTAACAGCCACATTACAGCGTCTACCTCACCCTCTATGATTATCCACTGACTCCAGCCCTGATGACCAGCTCTCTCTGCCTGAGAGCTGCAGACTTATGTTCTGATCTTTGTGGCGTTTTTTTACTGCATCATCATCCTGCTCGGCTCAGGACTTAAACTGCAGCATATCAAATTGTGTGGGGTCATCACGTAGATGCAAAACAACCTTTTTGAGGACAGTTAGGAAGGTAATCAGCCCGTCCTGATGTTTATGAGGGCCATACATTTTTTGAGGTCATTCAGTCAAAGGACAGAACCTACAAATCCATGCAGACATTTTGTTGAGCTTCCGATATGATTGATATTTATTCAGGGAGGAAGCTGTGTGACTAATATGTCACATGCAAAGTTTATGTATGTGTGCTTCGAACCGTTCTTGTTATAACCATTCAAACAAACCAAGCCAATACCTGCTACTGTAAATTGAAAAGTTGAGCTTTGATGAGGCAATAGTGATGCTATAGCCAAAAAGAAAAGGAAATCAGGACATATTGTTTCTATAACTTGGTGTCTAGAATTCATCATTATGGATTTGATATAAACCATTAAGAAAGGTTTTCCTTTTTTAAAAGTACAGGTAATATAGTCGTATTTCTGTATTAGAGTTTTAATATTTTAGAGTAATAGTAGTAGTGTAATGATATATCAACAAAAAGCAATAACCCTAACTCAAACCCTAACTAGCTTGTATGTTTCAATAGGAAATGGACAAAAAACCTTTCAAAGCCTCATTTCAAGCCTAAAGATGGTTAAAACTAACTATAAAGAGGAAATAAACAACATTTGAGTCTCAGAGGAGATTTGTCATTTTAGCAGGCTACACACCTTGGTTGGGCTCGTCCATAGAGAAAGCCTTATTCTCCATGAACATGTTCTGGGAGCTCTGCTCCTTCAGAATGGTCTCGTAGCCGACTCCTCTGTTGGGGTACAGATCGTCCCCGAAGCTTTGCTGGCTGTCATCGTCACCGCTTAAACTGCACATGTCAGGAATGGAGTAGAGGATGAGGAACGCCCATCCATTGGCTACCAAGGCGATGGCCAAGGTGGGGTCATCCCATGTGGGCCCCCCTCTACTCTCATTCCCGTAGATGTACATGGCGATCCACGCCACCCAAATTCCCACGGAGACCAAGCTGGTTAGAAGGATAAAGGCACCGTCTTTCTTCCACTTATTGTGTTTACCCGCCATGATGGCCAGGCTTGCCACCACCACAGCCAGGATCAGGGTCATCACGTAGATCAGCGCCATGACGAAGTCCTCGTTGGCGATGTTGCAAGGAGTAGCCGTTGCTGTGCTAGTTTCGGCTGTGGCGTTGAGTGGCCCCTGTGGGTGGCGCACTATGGTGATGATGAGCCACTCTGTGTTGATGACCACCTCCACCAGCCACAGCGCCACTGCCCCCAGACCCAAGGCCCAAGCCCGGGGCCCACTGTTCAGCCTGGCAAGGATGTTCAGCCTCACGCACTGCATTAGGAGGCAGGCGAAGCAGCCGCTAAACAACACCCCGAATAGGAACCTCCGGGAGGAACAGGTGGAGAAATCCTTTCCCACAATGAAGGCGAACGTCAGGCAGAAGAGACCCATCGTGAAGAACAGGAACCAGGCGTGGAGGCCCACCGAGCTCTTGCGGTTCTTGTCTTGCGTAAAGGGTATGCTGGCCAGCAGCGCCATGAAAAGCACAATGGAGAAGACGATGCCAGCCGACGCGAAGGCCTCCAGCACGATGCCCCACACAGCATCAAGGTCACACAAGTTGTAATAGAGGGAGTCCACATTGGGGCCACAGCCGTGAGGGGTGTTGTTGGCAGCCATGGCTACTTGTAAAGACCAGAATTTAGTTTGGACAAGTTGTTCTGCGATCCTGCCAGCACCTGTTCAGAAGGACAAACAGGGAGAGTCTGAAAGATTTCTTGGACTGTTGAGTATTAACAAAGACTCAAATACGTCACAAATACTGGAATAGGATACTGTTGTCTACACCCAATTAAGCAAATATTACACTTACATGAGTCAGTTTACACACTTCCCCACATGGGATTCAAAGCTTTGTCATGATGTTTAAATATAAAGTAATTTGACAGTCTTTCAGAGCTAGAAAGAATTAGAACGCTGAATTACCAACTATGGACTTTTCCCTAACTTTGACGTTAATCATTAGAGGGATCTCTGAACAAATATTGTTTCTGTGCATTGCGATTACACCTGAATCAATAGGTGAAAGTGCATTAAACCTTAAGTGCTATGGGTGGACCTTTTAGTTTTAACAAATGCACAAATCAAATCAAAATCATTGGTACTTTTTATGATTATTTATTTTAAACAACATAAAATCAGAGTGGAACAGTGTCTGCTTTGTGATAAACATCTCCACAGCGTCTGTTTTTGCTTTTTGCTGTGTCTGGCTGGTTCTTTTTGTCCCCGTCAGATTAAATTACTCTGAACTGAGGACTCTGAGCCAGATCGATAGATTTCTAGTGGCGGAAGTTCAGTCTTTCTAATTTCTGTGACTCTATCACGACAAGGATCTTTCTGGAACAACGTTTTAACCTTTTCTGGTTTGAATGATTTGGTTAGTCCCTTATTTTTGGGTGGCTTCAAGAGGTCTGTCAGTTCTTTTGTAATAAATCACTTATATGTTTTTTTTCAGTTTAGGGTGTGACCTCTAATCACACACAGAATTGAAGCCACTTTTTACCAACTGAATAACAGAGACCTGTGATTACACTATATTAACACGTCAATTGTATTTGTACCTCTGTTACCATGGAAAGCTCAAGGACCAACCGTTGTATGGCATGTTTGCTATTTCTGAATGTTCAAGGTAAGAACAAAAGGCATAATTTCATTCCAGTAAGAAACAAAGACCAAAGACTCCCAGCTGGTACAACTTTTTTTGTTTTGTCTTTCCATACAAACTTTGGACAGAGATAAATCAAGGATAGGGAAACCCCTGATTCCTTAAAAGCTCTATCAAGCTCCAAACAGAACAGTTAAAAAAATCAATGAATCGCAACTATTTTATCTATCATATATCATGTATTTATCTCTACTATCTCAAGTTCTTTCATAATCTCTGAAAGAAAACAAACTCACCACAAGGTCCATAGCATTTCCGGAGCTTTCAATCATATCACATGGTCTTTATCAGCAGGAAGAATTTGTCCAATTATCATGGCTTTGTTAAATTGCTGATCAAAGCTTCTGAGCCACATTCAATGAGAATCTACAATTCCATGATCACTAGGCAAACTCCCTGCTGATAAAGATCATGTGATGTGATTGTAAGCTCATCAACATTTACTAAATGGACCTTCAGGTGAGAATGTTTTCCCATCAACAGCCTAAGGCCCCGTCCACACAGAGACGAAACGGGTTGTATCCGCTACAGTTCTCTATCGTATAGACGGTTCGTCCACACAAGGCCGACACGGAAACGTGGATAATGATAACGGCTCCCAAGGTGGGTAGATCTGCGGACAAAACGCTCTGGGGGGCCAAACGGCTCTGTGTGTACGCCCTATACGATCATTTCCTGATAACGATGACGCCATAGCCCCGCCCTTCCCCACCTCTGCTGCTCACCCCCGCTGCTTTTGGTGAATTTTGTGGCGGAAGTACAGCGCCACTTACAGTCCCGGCATATGTACTACAGCGTAGTGATGGGAATTCCGGCTCTTCTTGGTGAGCCGGATCATTTGGCTCGGCTCACCAAGAAGAGCCGGCTCTTTCGGCTCCCAAACGGCTCTTCAGTTTACCACATATTATACCTTTTATAATTCAATCAAATGTAGCCCTGTTTTGACTAATGATTTATATGTGTACACATATCACTTAAATTATTCAATACATCCTTTGTACTGAAGTATTCAAAAGTAAAAATTACATGTTTAATATCAATTATTTGCTGTGGCCAATTGTTTTCATTGCATTTACAGACCCTTGTATCTCTCTGATACCACCCAATGAATGCACAGACTTGCTTGTAGAACCACGCTACACAAAGCAGATAGCAACACCTATAAAAACTTAAGCATAGACATTTAAAAAAAGGGGCTACTGTATCGACATTTTAAAATTATATTTAAAGAAAAGGCCCTGACAAAACAGCAGGGCTCTATTTCAGTATTAACTATAGAAAAAAAGACAGCAACAGCTGACATCAAATCTTTGCTGAGCCCAAGGATAATCATAAATAAATAACATAGTGAAAATAAATATATTGCAATGCTCAGTCCAGCAGCATCCAACCGTCTCTAATCATAAAAAAACATAATACAAATAAATGTATTGCAATGCTCAAAACAGCAGCATCCAACAGTCTCTAATCCTTGGATAGTACATGCCACTGCATGCATGCACGGAGCAGCTGTAGCGCGGAGATCATCATATCATTCTGTCTTGTATTACTTAACAAAAAATAACAAAAACAAAAAAACGGCTCGTTCGCGGGCGCGAGCCGGCTCCCGTCGTTCACTTAAAAGAGCCGGCTCTTTGAGCCGGCTCGTTCGCGACCGACACATCACTACTACAGCGTCTCCGGGTCGAGCAGTCTCGTGTGGACGGACACGTTTCTGGCGCAGATTCCGTGTGGACGGAATACTTTTTTGATATCGACCTCGGTTCGTTTTCGTTTTCATCTCCGTGTGGACGGGGCCTAAATGTGTGAGATGACAACAAAAGACATCAACAAAATGCTCCCCAAGGTTCTAACGTTTACCATGTGATATTTAGCAATGTGAACCACTGAAACAAAATATTCAAAGTGTAATGTTATAAGTCATTTCTGGTGTCAAACTCTTGCTTTCATTGTTTGCTTGCCTTAAATGTTAGAACTTAAACGCAACATGATAAATATAAAATGCACAACTTAGAAGACAAAGGGGGGTGGGGGAGTTCACAGCAAAATCTTTACCCAGGGTTTTCTAAAAGTTTTGTCAAGCCCTGGAAGGACTCACTGGGTTTGTTGTCATTGTCAATATGTGTACCTCGTCTATGATATTTTAAATTTTAACCTATTAAGCTCAGTTTTCGTAACGTGTATCGAGTTCTCACTCAAATAAATAAAAGGAAAACCACCTTTTATTTTCAGTCGTGTTATAATTAATACCTCTGTTAATAGCTCGTCACTAGCTTACATGCAGCATATGTTCTCATATCAATATGAATATGACGTTTTTGTGCATTTAAACTATTAAAAAGCAGTTTCACACATTTTCGGTTGTTCACAGGGACAAGACGATTGACATTAACCTCGTGTACAAATAATATAAAAAGATATCTAACCAGATAGAATAGAAAAACTGTTTTTTGTAAACATATCACAATCGTACAACTCTAAACGAGACAATTCGCCTTATTTTAACAAGATGGGTCTGATGTAAACATGTGTAAGTACCTTTGTGAAGACTTCCCCGCTGAGTTGGTGGTTGTTGATCCCGCTTTTTGAATCTCTTCTTCACCTGCTCCTCCGGCTGCCACCGCTCAGTTGACCGTAAATCATCGAGTGTAAAAAAAAAAAGACAAGTCAACTAAAAAGTTTGCAGTCTTCGGTAAATCTCCTGGAACTCCTCATGAGACTGGTCCCTGCAAAGCTCACTTCATACTAATATAAAAGTTAAAGAATCCTCCACGAGCGTTTTCCAGCGAACTGACTGCTGTGATGGTCTCTCTCTCCTTCTCTCACACTCACTCACTCTCTCTCCCCCTCTCTCACGCACGTGCACACACGCACGATCTCACTTCAATGCATGACTGTACTGCCATCACTCAATATCTAATACACATTTTTTTAATGTTTTATTTCTTTAAAAATCTTTCAGTGTTTTCTTGTTGTAGCAAATTAACTTTACATGTTTTCTTTATGCAAGATAAACTGATTTTATTACAGCAAAATTAAACATCCAACATATGCGTGGTGTTTAGGTGGTGTGTAGTGACATCTAGTGGTGACATGTATATGGGCCATTCTACCGAATTGGACCAAAGTCAGGTTGGAAATGTTTTGAAATGTTGTATGTTTTTTCCCCAAAACGTTGTCCATATATATTTTGTACCATATCTAAATTACACATAGGCTTATCTAGTAAAAGAATCGTACATTTTTATATCGTATTTTCAGACTGTATTGGAATGTTCTTCCTCTACCAAAAATGGTCACTACAGAAACATAGTACATACACTGTAGTAAACAAGTATTATATTAACCTGTTAAGATTGTTTTACCTTCCCTTCTCTAAATAGTATTTAAACAAATATTTCTTGAGAGTTTTCACAAGTAAATGAATAAAAGTGCATTTTTAATCAAAGTTCAATTTATACAATTCATAAAAATCATAATGCAAACTTTCTTTGTAAAATGCATAATACTGATCATATTGATTCCAGAGTTGATGATTGTTGAAATTGAACATACATTAAACCAATCAGTATCATATCATTTTAGTTGATAACTCAATATACTTAATTTTTTACAAAACATCCACTGTTTCGGTAGTGACCACAGTATTTTGTTCTCAAGGTTGTATCATATTCCCTCAACCTTATTGCTTAATCTGAACTCATAACATGCCTTATGTTGAAGTGTGAATGTGTGAAGCTACTGACCCAGAATCAGCACAGGCTGAAATAGAGGGGAATGAGGCTAGAATGCATGATCAGTTTGGTATTTTTAGCAAAACACTTCATAGACATGTTTTTTTATATATCTGAGACCTATAATATATTCCTGAAAATAGTATAATAGGAGACCTTTAAAGTAACACACTGATTTTCAGACTTTAAAACACATTTATTTCAAAATTATGGGATTTACCTGCTTACCATTCCATTCTGTCACTACCGAAACGATTATGTCAATTACCGAAACGTAACCATATGTTTCGGTAGTGACTGTTTCGGTAGTGACTGTTTCGGTAGTGATTGTTTCGGTAGTGACTGTTTCGGTAGTGACGATTCTAGCTAAGTTTGAGTAACTAAAGAATGCTAGCAAGTAGCCTACATGGCTAGCATACACGTTTTTGAACACACATAAAAACCTAATGCTGCGTTCACACCGGACGCGAATATTCGCTTCGCTCTAATCGCTCCTATCGCATCGCTCTAAACGCTGGAGTTTCACCGCGGCTGCCAGCTGTGTTTACTCGCATCATTGAAACAAGACGCGCTGGCTCGGGAGCTACAACTACAACAAAATGAACATATTTTACCGTGATTAAATTGTAATACACGTTTCTAAATGATGCCGAAGTAACAACATACTGATACCGGTTAGTAAAAACCATGAATGAATGCTTGACAAGTCTGCCGACAAGACGGCAGGCGAAAAATCTTTTTAAATGCTTGTTTTCTGAATGAAGATCAGGGCGACCAGGCTAAGCTAACGTTGTATATGCTCCGTCCACACTCACAACAACGGCCTACAGACATAGATAAAGCAGCGACTGTATTCGCCATGACACAGACAGTCTGTGGTTTGTACTTGTTTAACTTTTGTCCAGTTTCTGAACAGATATGAGGAGCTGTGAGCTCTGTGTGCTAACTGCTAACAGCTAACGGCTGATGTTGTGTGGTTGAACGTCAGTGACGGCAGGCTGAGATCCTCACCGCTGATTGGCTTCCGCGAGAACGCGTCACGTGAATTTGACGCTCGAGTTGAAAAAATGGAACTCTCGCGTTTAACGCGGCACCGTTCAATCGCCTCAATCACGTGATTCGCGCCGCGTCCACCGCTTCATGCGCACCGTCGGAGCGAATTCGCGTCTGTCCGCGTCTCTGCATTGACTTTACATGTAATCGCGCCGCCCCCAAACATCGCATTGCGTCCGGTGTGAACGCAGCATAAGACTTTGCATAAAACTCAGAAAAAGTTTACTTAAAGGGGACCTATCATGCAAAATGCACTTTTGTACGTCTTTTATACATGAATATGTGTCCTCGGTGTTCCAGGGAACTCACCAAGTGTCAGAAAATACAACCCTCTCTATTTTCCTCCATACCCAAATCTCTAAAAAAGGGGCTGCAACGGATCTGATACAGACTGATCCAGATTTGAACACTTCTATGACGTCACAGAAGTGGCGCTACGGCTATTGGGCCAACTCTCCACCTATCAGGGGAATGTGGGGTTGGGCCACGGCCGGCCATTCCCGCTCGAAAGCGCTGGAAACGCTGTAGTACATATGCCAGGCCTGTAAGTGGCGCTGTAGTCTGCCACAAAAGCAGCAAAGAAGACTTCCCGCTCATAGTTACCATGGTTACCCTTCTGTTTATTCTCCGCTTTGGCTTTTTTTCTCCCTCCCCGAGGCAAGCGTTTGCTCCCGCTGCTTTAATTCAATGCAATCCCTCCCCGTCGAGGCAAGCACTGTAATTCTCTTCGGTTAGTCCACCAGCAGATGACAAACACCCACCTCTCCGCCTCTTCCAAGGAACGAGGGGACCGTGCGGCAGAGTTTCAGTTTCAGTTTCTTTCGCCGGTCAAGATGTCCGTTAAAGTTTAAATCTTCCGGACAAAATTAGAAAAGTGCCGGTCAAAGGTCTTCTTTGTTATTTATTGAGCTTTAAAATAAATGAATAACGACTCTATATAATAAAACACGGAGGACGGAGATCTCTTTTTCTCCCCCTCTTCTGACAGCCCAGCAGCTGATCAGAGCATGGCTCCCCTCTCCTGCAGGGGGGCGTGGTCAGCTGCAGCTCACAGAGATCAGCCCCGTAGACAGCAAACAGCACATAGAGCGAAATGAGGCATGGCTAAAATGCATAATCTGTTTGGTATTTTGAAAACAGAAACGTATAAATATACCTTAGATAGGTATGGCCCTACAATATATCATTTAAATATAGCATGATAGGTCCACTTTAATAGAGTGGCGAAGTCCCTCCCACTTACTTCCGGGGTATGGGACCTTATCTCGGAAAAATTATGCATTGAAGTCAATGGGGAGAGAAAACTTATCTTTCGATCCCGTTTGAATTGTGCCATGAATTACACATATGATGTTTGTCAATCTTAAAAAATCATTTCCATGTCAAAAAAGTCACAGTTTGTCGTAAAACTGTTGAAATATAAGACTATGAAAAATACGTAACTAGAAAGACTACAAATCCCAGAGTCGCGTAAGTGATGTCACAATTGTTTACCTCCACCATTCAGATACCTAAGATCAGCGCAATATAGATATAATCTATCTATATGGCGCTGGCTAAGATAAGATAACTTTAACAAGATGCCTGTGTGCTTAGTACCAGGTTGTTATTATACCAGCAATGGGTCTTGCTCGTTCTTTTGCTTCCCGTCTGATGAAACGACCAGCAGTGGCTTGATCAAGTTAGCTACCTAGCTAGTAGCTAGCACGTTAGTTAGCATTACAGCCTTGTCATTTTTATTAGCCTTAACATGAAGTAACATTAAGTAACCCAAAATGTTAAACAGTAAGAGTAGTAGTCATATTTCGTGAACCCTTTGAATAGTACTGTCACCGGTGTGATCGTTCTATAATACACCATTTAATTCCGGGGGAGAAATGCTAACGCTAACGTTAGCATCGGCGATCTTTTCTACTTCATGCTATCTGCACAAATGGTTGACATTAAACATTAAAACGACCAGGCAGTTCAGAGAGAATCAAAGGAAGGCAGGCAGGCAGCTTTGCATGACATTCTTCAGGACGTGTTTCATTGTGGTGATAGTCAATCGTTTGTTGACAAGACAGTAGTGACGGCCATCTTGGTGACGTGTGTGGTTGACCAGAGATGTAGTTCATTTAGCGTTTCACACAAAAAAATGTGTTACTTCACAGTTTTACGACACATTTTATTTTTTTTGACTTGCAAAATTATCTTTTAAATTGACAAACATCATATGTGTAATTCGTGGCACAATTCAAACGGGATCGAAAGATAATCTTTCTCTCTCCATTGACTTCAATGCATAACTTTTCCGAAATAAGGTCCCATGGGGCTCAACCGGAAGGGGAGGGACTTCGCCACTCTATTGAAGATAATATTTGTTCGGTAGTGACAATTCTTAAGGTTACACGCCGATTTTCTGATTTTGGAACAGATTTATATCAAAAGTATGGGATATAGCTACTTGCCATTCAGCCATGAGGGACAGGGATGCAGTGTCACTCACTGCCTAGTCAACAATGCAGGAGTGTGGCTAAAAACCAGCTCAGCCATTGGACTAAAACCCCTTGTGTTTCGGTAGTGACATGAAAACTGGGGACATGATTTTTTAAGTATAGTTTTTTTATTAAAAAATGATACCCAAAATAAATCTAAATATTCCAACTTCTGTTTGAATCATACCGATCTTCTAAATACACCATTGAACAAAAATAAAATAAAATGTTTTAAGTGTTATTTACAGAAATTGAAATTTAGATGTCAGGGTTGGGGACAGCTACTTCCCAATAGAAAGTACCCTATAAATTATGTTTTTGTATATATTAAGCTTATCACTATCTAATTTAATGCCTTGTGTTTGAATAGACCATAACATATTCTTAGTAAATATCTATGTCTGAATACTTAATTGTTTTGTTTAATAGTTTTTCTTGTTGTGGGACCGCACTTTGTACTAATTCGGTAGAATGCCCCATATACACTCAGCAGCAGTTTAGGGAGGTTTAGCCACAGGAAGGTGGCAGCAAATAGTGTAAATGTAGAATCTAAATCATACATGCTATAAATACACTTTGCTCCG